GGAAGGCTGAGGCAGGAGGATCACAGGTTAAGACCAGCCTGGGCAACTTAGTGAGAACCTACCTTAAAATAAAAGTTATAGAAGGGCTGAGGATGTTGCTCAGTGGTAAGGTGCCCATGGGTTCAATTCCCAGTACCATAAAAAACCACCCAAAGTTTGCTAACTCCTGCCAGGGTGGCCGACTGTTAGAGAATCCCTTAGTAAATATGAGAGGACAGTACAGAACTGTATTTGTGCTCCTAAGATCATAGGCACCCACTTGGGTGGAAGCATAAACCTCTCATTCCTACTCAAATCCCCTGCTGGAGGGGCCTGAGCAGCCTGAACTAATCCCGGTCACCTGAGTCATCGGGCAATCACATGAGCAAATACACAGAATCTCCTAATCAGTCTCAGCCTTAACTGGACCGCAGGGCAGCCAGATGTTCTGTGAAGCCACAGAGAACGTTCCCATCAGCTATGAAGAATTCCCACCCACAGAACTGAACATGAACCTAACCAACACTCTCAAGTTGACCACTAATTTAAAGGAAGCATGGTGGATAGGAGATATGAAATGACACCACCAGGCGGACGGCATCAGCCAAATCTAGAGTGCAAGCCACCCCGACAGTCTACGCACAGGGACTTGGTTTCTTCAATAACTCAATGGCATGGGGAATAAAGGATGAGTGGGGGCTGGGGATGTGGCTCAAGCGGTAGCGCGCTCGCCTGGAATGCGTGTGGCCCGGGTTCAATCCTCAGCACCACATACAAACAAAGACATTGTGTCCGCCGAAAACTAAAAAATAAATATTAAAAAAAAAATTCTCTCTCTCTCTCTCTTTAAAAAAAGAAAGGATGAGTGGGTGACTGTAAAGTGTCACAAAAGGGACCTAAAGGGTAAAACAACCAAAGAGAATTTGGGGTCGTTGTTTGAACACTGATTATGAGAGAGGGGAGACTGAAAGACAGAGAGAGACAGACAGGAAGGACCAACAGACTAAATATCCTCTAAGATGATACAGAGAAATGTGAATATAGTCAGCATATTAGATGTATTAAGCAATTACTGTTATCAATTATTGTAACTTTTGTTAGGTGTGATAATGTTTAAAATAACAAAATTGAGTAAAGATGTCACTTGGTACTGGTAAAAGGACACAATGTCTAGAATTTGTTTCAAACTGCTTCTGAAAATAATGATAATAATGGCGGGGGAAGGTAGGCCATATAAGATTGGTGAAGTGTTGATAATTACTGGTGCTGGTGACGACACATGATGGTTCGTGATACTCTACTTTTCTGTACAATATTTTGTGTGTGTGTGTTTTTTTTTTTTTCCATCCTGATGTTTTTTTTTTTTTAGTGAGGTGATCAATAAATTGGGGTCAGAGAAAAGCAGACAAAAAGATCAGGATGGTAACAGAGGGCTGGAGAAGAGGAAGTACGGGTTGCCTAGGAATTTCAAGACCAGAACAAGGAACAGTATATCAAGAATAAGACAGAAAAACAAAAGAATAAGACAGAAGAAATGTCAGTGTCCTGGATTAGCTAAAGACAGCGAAGTTCTACAGTTATGAAAAGTCACCATTGAAGGCAGGGGAGCCCCTCTGAACAGCAGGATGAGGTGTGGCTTACCTGAGGAGGGTAAAAATAACAAATGCCAGCTCGGGTGGGATCTCCTTCCTCCTTCACCTTGGAGCCATCATAGAGAAAAAAATAATTCCACCTGGCGAGAGAAGAGAGTGGGGCCATGTCTCCCTCCACGTGGTGGCAACGGCAGCTGAGGACAGGGCCTCCTATCTCCCAGCCCAAGCAGCCTTGTCACTCAGTGTCTGAGCCTTCTGGTGGCCCCAAGAAGAACAAACCCAGTCGCTCCGAATAGATAAAACCAGTCCTTAAGTGCAGAAGAGGCAAACTAAAAATACACCTCTCTCCAGCCGTCAGACCATCTGCCCACAAGAACGCGAGTGGCAGGAGGAAAGACGGCGCCCACGACAACAGCCTGTCTGCAATGCTGAGCCTCAACTGTGAGCCACGTGGCCTGGCACCCGCCTAAGGCTCTGGTAACAAGTTAGGGGCATCTTAGTTGCCCTCCTCACAACTGCTGAGTGCGATGACCCCGGACAGCCCTTCCACCAGGAATGCACGCACGCATCTACGCAGGGCCCACGGTGTGCTCTGCGCCTGCTCAACAGATATGCAAGGCCAACACTGGGCACTGTGGAAGGGAAAGGGGCTTCACGAGTTCAGAGGAACACTGAACCCTCTCTGCCCCTCCAAACGTGACAGGGCTCCAGGGGCTCGCTTAGTCAGCTTCCTCCTAAACCTTCTGATTTCCTGACCCAAAGGAACCTCTTTCTTCAAGTTTCCCTGACCCTCCTCTTTCCTAAAGTCCCTTACAGCCTACTCTGCAGGATAATAATTATTACATAATTCTCATTATCTGATTCCCTCTTTAAGACCACAAAGCCAACTCCCCAGAAGCTGGATCGTGCTTTTACTTCTAAATCTCAAAAAGGACATTTTCCAGGCTGTAGCATACAAGGGACATGTGACCACCTGGCCATCCATACTCTTCTCACAGGGGCCTGTGCCCTCTCGGGCCTCCCAGCTCATCACTTCGGATTCCAGCATGATGCACCTTCTTGAGTTCCAGGGCTAGATGGGAAACCAGCTGCAGGGCAAGCCCAGACCAAGAAGGCTCAGTGCTTCAGGGCCACCCAGGGACCGCCAAGCCCTGGCCCTGTCCTCCCCCTGTCCCACATTCCAAGCCTGGGCGCCACTCTCAACTGCTGCTCCCTCTTTCTTCCGTGTGTATGATCAGTCACTAAGTCCTGCTGAATCTAGTTAAACCCTTTCTCCTCTGTATTAATGTCTGGTGAACCGAATTATAAGAAAGTATTAAGTCATATGAGGCTGAGTGGGAACTGAGCTTCAGGAAGAAACCCTTCCTGAGCTAGAAGAGCCACCAGCTAGACTGGGCAAACCTCTTCTCGTGATGAAATTCTCCACTGCAACTATTCCTCAGCCAGGTCATTCTCAAAGTGGACTACACAGTTTTTTCCACGGTCTACTAAGATGTTGGACTCACTCAAACACTGCAAGAGGCTTGCGAGGTTAAAACGCTAGCTCTAGAGAGAAGAGGCCTGCAAGCTCCATGTGGCTACTCAAAGGAAAATGACCTTGTAATTTTTTTTCTTAAAAAATCAACACGATCTGGCTGGGGATTTTCAATTCACCCAGATCTATCTAGAAGCCTGGCGAAAGGTCTTGGTACTCACCAAGGGGCTGACTTTGTCTCTGGGGAGGTAGAGGTGGCCATTTACTTCTCAGTCAGCCTCATCCTCTTTATTTGGATTTCTTTTTCCAGTATCACTTCTTGCTCCCCAGCTGTGTCCCTATTGCAGAGAAGCTGGGTGTGGTAGGGTTAGGTGTTTTCTATATTGATTGCCACTTCTTAGTTTTTATTCGGATGAAAGTGCTTCTTCCTTTCCGTGTAGCCTCTTAAGTTTCATGAATATCTCTACACCTTTTGGAATTCAGAATATAATAAAGTAAGAGAAGTCAAATCCACCAGTCTGGTTCCATGAGCATCAGCATGGCTATCTACATAACAGCACCTTCAAGCTCGACTCCAGGAAAACTCCACTGGGCAGATATGTGCTGGACGGAGGCAGTGTTCCGATGAGATTTCGAATGTGGCTAGTTCAAAATCATCCTGATAGTTCTTTCAAATGCTCTGAAGCATCCAGTCCAAAGTCAGTGCCTTGGCTCTGAAATAAACATAAGGAATAGATTATTTCAGAAACCCACAAGCAAGCATGTGACCCAGGCAGGGTTAAATAAGTGGTATATTTCAAAAGAGCTTTCTACAACGGTGAAAATTATGCTCAAAATTAAAAGGGAGGGCGTTAGCAGAGACTTCAAAGTAAGTGCCTTAATTTCTCCAATAGTTATGGTAAACACACAACAAGCCTCACAGAAGAAAAATTAATTGATTAGTATAAAAAAGCACAAGGTGTTGAGAACAGCTGTCCCAATAATGTGGCTGCTGTAGTAATAATGGAAACTAAATTAAGGAACTGTCATTTTGACAGCCCAAAGTAATCTGAACATGCACACTCTCAGAGCTGAGCAATTTTGCAAAATGCAAAAAGAGAACTTTCCCTTAAGTAGGTTTCAAACTCCCACAAGAGAAAGACAACTCAGTGGGACTTCAGAGTCAGAAGGGATCCTGGCCTCATTTACTCTAATCCTGGTCCCTGACTCTCCACCCAAAGCTCCCTCCACAGCCTCTGGCTTAGCCCTCCAGAGACAGGAGGTTCATAATATTCAAGTCATCCTTCCATCAAACCCAAAATCTGCTCCCAATAAATTCCACTCACTGGTCTGGACACTCTCCAAGAAAACCCAAAACACGGTTTAATCCTTTCATGTGACAACCCCTTGGTCACTTCAGAACTGTATTCTTTTTATTGCTTTCTCTAAGCTTAATGTCCTCAGTAACATGGTCTCAAATACTTGCCACCATTCTGTCATGTGCAAGAACCCAACAATGGTTTGCAAGTTTCTCTGGTAGAGAGGTCTGTAGAGAGGACTGCGGTGCATCTCAGGTGGTCTGTGCAATCTGATCTTTTCTCAGCGAGACTTTTGGGGGCGCCCCCCCCCCCACTGGCCACACTCCCTAGGTTCTACAGCGCCTGCGTGGGCACCTGTGGGGGCAGCACCTCATTTCCCAGAACCAAGAGCAGCCTGAAACTCCATCCCTCCCGTTCCCACAGGACTGGGCCCACGCTACCGAGGGCCACTATCCTATCTCCGAAAGGTCTAAAAAAAACCTGTGATGGTTCTGGGCAGGGACAGGTGTCAGGGTGTGACCAGAAAAGACTGGCAGCCTAGGAAGTGGCAGGAGCGTCATTCCTCACGCTGCCAGAAGTGGACGGGAACGGCCCGGGACGGTGGTACTGTAGGAAGTGACCTCGGTGGGCTACAGGAGGACTGGCAAGGGGGCGCTAATGGCTGCGAAGGGCCAGGCGGCCGGAGGGCACGAGCCCCGGGGGCTTAGGAAGCGATCGGCAACCGCGCGAGGCTCCCCGACGTGCCCGGCTCCCGCGCTGGGGTCTGGGAAACGGCGGGCAAAGGCGCGGGGGTCGAGCGGGTCCCGCCCGCGGAGTCCCCACGCCCGTCCACCCACCGGGACGGCCAGCCTGCCAGGGGCTCCGGGTTCAGGACTCGGAACCGGAACGTGGCGGCGGCCGGGCGCCCGCGAGTCCCGCCCGGTACCTACGCGCGCCGCGGAAAGGCCCAGGTCACGCGCCTCCCCGCCTCCCGCCTCCCGCCTCCCGCCCCCTCACGCGGGCCGCGAGCCGCCGCGCGCTGGTGACGTCAGGCCGGCGCGCCGCTCGGCGGTGACGTCAGGGCCAATGGCGGCGGCCGTGGCGCTGGAACCTTGGGTGCAGGCGGCCCCGCGAAGGAGGCGCTCGGCGGCGGCGAGGCGGCCGCGGCGGAGGGAGGCGGAGGTCGGCGGCCGGGAGGCACAGCCCGAGGCGGACAGCGGAGTCGTGCTGCGTCGGCTCCGGGAGGCCCAGTGAGTGCGGGCCAATCCTGGCGGGCAGAGGCGCCTCGCAGGGCTTCGGTCGCCCTAGCTGTACGGTGGGGACGGGGACGTGCTGCGCACCTGTCCTGGGGCCACTTTGAGGCTTTAATGCAGGCGACTCGCCCGCTGCGGACCCGGTCTATTGTAAGCGCGTCTCGTTCCTCCTGCGGCAGTGACAGCTGCGCCCATGGCGTTCCCCTTTGTGGGACGGGCTTGCAAACACGGCCCGCGTAGGTCAACCCCGGGATTCCAATGCAGTGGACGGAACCGTCTCCTGCCCGCGGAGAGCGCCGGCCGGGCATGGCGCTTCCCGCCCGGCCCGAGGTTGGTTGGTGTTGGTATTAGGAACACGTGACTGTCACCACCACCATTAGTTTTGGGATGGATGCTGTGTGCCTAGCACTGGCTTAAACCGTCTACACACGCTGTTAGAATGCTGGTAGCTCAAAGAGACATGGGCGAGGCATGGAACCAGCTTCCAAATTCAGATCGTTGTGACTCCAAAACCTGTGCTTTCATCTTGTCATTATTCAGGACTCTTATTCTACCCAAATCCCCCCATACCCTGCCCTGTAGTTAGAAAGCACAGAAGTGCCCAACACAGGAGGTATTTAGTAAATGCTACCTACTACTGTTTAGTATTTTTATTTACTTGCAGTCCTGTTAGAGCTCAATAACTAACAGCTTTAGCCGTGATTCAGATCAGTGAGTGAAGAAATATCACAAGAGATAGAAGTTAGATTAATTTCTACCAGAGGGTCCTGTGAATCCAAACCGTTAACCAACTGGTTGAGACTGGGAAATAAAAACAATTCTTTCTAAGATCTCTGAAGGTGCAATGAAAGTGAATGTGTCTTGGGGCTTGGGGTAACTGTGTGTGAGAGTGACAGTGGTCTCACTAGGTTGCCCAGGCTGGCCTAGAATATAGATCCTCCTGCCTCAGCCTCCTGAGTGCTTTTCCCTATCTGTTTTAGTTGGCTTTTTCACTGATGTGACTAAACGACCTGACCAGAACAACTGTAGTAGAGGATAAGTTAGGGGGCTCACAGTTTCAGAGGTCTTAGTCCATAGAAGGCCAGTTCCGTTCCTTGGGGCTGGAGGTGAGGCAGAGAGAACATGGTGGAAGAGTATGGCAGAGGAAGCATCTCACATCGTGATCAGAAAGCAGAGAGACTCCACTGGCCAGATACAATCATAAGCCCCTAAGCCATACCCTACCCTTTAATTACCACTCACTTAATCCTTATGGGGATCAATTCACTGATTGGGTTAAGACTCTTATAAGCCAATAATTTCTCCTCTGAACCTTCTTGCATTGTCTCACATGTGACCTTTTGGAGGACACGTCACATCCAAACCACAACAATATCTCTATTCACTGTTATTTCCTCAATTTCTTCAGAATCTCCCAGGAGCTCCCCGCTTCTCCCAGCACTACTCTATGTCAAGTCACCACTGCCCTGGATAGGGAGGGGCCCAGGGCTCTACATGCTGACTATGCACGTATTTGCCAGTTGACAGCATTGCCATGCAGAGTGGAGCTCTGCTTTACCTGTTGTGAGGAACCTGGGCAACCTCTGGGCAGATGTTTTTCAATACTGTCCACTCCTTCCTGAACCCCCTAAATAGTCCCTGGCTTATGGCTTGTGGAAGGCAGATGACCTGAGCAAAGACACCAAACACTTCATTTGTCTCTTCTTTTACTCTCCCCTTAGAATCTTTTTTTTAAAAATATTTATTTATTTATTTGGTTAGGCCAATACCTTTATTTTGTTTACTTATTTTTATGTGGTACTAAGGATCGAACCCAGGGCCTTGCGCATGCTAGGTGAACGCTCTATTGCTGAGCCACAACCCCAGCCCCCTAGAATCTTTTTTTAAAATCTTTTTTTTTATTGTGGCAAAATGCACATAACATAGTTGATCATCTTAACCATTTTTAAGAACATGCTTCAGCATTTCCACGGTGTTAAATACATCCGTAATGTCATGCAGCGGTCACCCCCACCTACCTCCATAGGTCTTTCATCTTGTAAAACTGAAACCCCGTACACATAACACGGCAGTTTCCACCTCTCCTCCCAACCCTGGCAAACACGTTTGTCTCTATGATTTTGAATGTTTTATATGACAAAGACTATGGAGTACCTGCTATGTGGCACTGTACTAAGAATGTCAGACCACTGCATTCCTCCTGTCGCCCTCCATGTGGGAACAGTTTTTATCCCCATTCCAGACATGAGGAGACTAAAGCTCAAAAACAATCAAAGAATTTAACGATTTATTGAGCTGTAACAGTGCCAGGCATGGTTGTGGACTAAGGATGCCAAACGGATCCAGATCTGCCCCTGGGCACCTGAGGCCTCCTCCCGGAGGCCCTCTCTGTCCCCAGCAGAATATATGAGGACCCTGAACATGTCAAAATTTGTTTCCCTTCTTGTCATTCAGTCAGTAAGGGTGGGCTCTGCACCGGAGGTCCCTTCACCTCCCATGCAGCCAACTTGTCGTCAGGAGGTCACAGCTCGGGCAGCCCTGACACGGGTGGGAGGTGAGCATGCTATACTTTTCTCCACAGAGGGGACCTGCTCGTCTCTGACTTCTGGAGCGCAGCCTTGGGTGAGTACCACTGGCCAAGGGGACGGTGGAAGGAGGGAGAGGAGGATGTGGATATGGGCAGAGAGGGGAATGTAACCCTCCTTGGAGAGCACCTTGCTTCACAGAGCTGTGTTTGTGACTCCCCCTTAGGGCTGTGTCTCTTGGCACTTAACTAAATGTGACGCTCAGTTTCTTTCTCTGTGAAATGAGGGTAATAACATCTGTATCCTGTAACATAGGCATGAGAATTAAATGAGACAATTTGGTGCTTGGAACCGTGCTTGCCCGCTGCACAGAAGGCAGTAAATACTGACTGTCCTTATCATTATTGCTGTGGCTTATTTTTATCCTGTTCTTCTTCCTGGACAGCACGCGGCAGGCTGTTTCCTGCCATCGTGATCCTTTCCTACATGTAATGTGGCAACATGATATTCATGCCCTGAGTGAGCTTACCATGGGTGTCATTTTTATTGAGGGCTTTTTTTTCCTTTATATTTTAGTTATTTTTATATAACTTTGCAGGTAGCATCTTTATGCATAAAGCTTGTGCCAAATTTAGTGTGATCTATTAGGATAAAGTCCCAGAAGCGGAATTAAGTGAAAGGCAAGTGACCAACTCCGTGTCCGTTATCATGCTGTTTCCAAACAATTTTTCCCCCAAGTTTCTTATCAGCAAGAACCTAAGAGCCAGTTTTCCTGCGCAGCTCTCCTAGCCTGGGGTCTTATGTAAAGACAGCTTTGCTAATTTGACAAGTGAAAATTGCTATCTTGTTACTGGAATGCATGGCTTTTTGTTTTGTTTTGGATGTAGCTTTGTTCAACAGAATTCAGTACCAATATAATTTTAAAAAGGGACAAGAACCTGCCTCTGTGGGACAGGAGTTCAACAGAACAGCATTCATTAGGTTCTTGACACCTTCAGCCTTTTTTTTTTTTTTTAACTTTTACATATGAAATATTTCTACACCTTGACATTTATAGTGATTTTGAAAGTTATGCTCTTCTAATCTAAAAAGTATTTCAGAGCGTAGCTTGCAATTACCAGACGTCTCCTGTCAAATTAGAGTTGAGTTCACATTCGAGTTTTAGAGGAAACCGCCCATGAGGGAAAGCCACGTTTTGTTGAAAGTCTCTCTTGGGTCTGGGGCTGTGGGGGTCTGGGGCTGTGGGGGTCCGGGACACAGATCATCTGTCTGCCCTGGGTGTGGCTGTATGTGCCGGGCAGCTTTTCTGTCTGAGAGTTGAAGCCGTCTTGCCCTGGGTCTGGTGGCTTGGCTCACAGGGTCAGAGCGTGGCCCCTGATGCACCTTGGCTGCGGGCTCTTTCAGAAACCATCAGCCAGTGTCTTACAAAACAGCTGGGACAACTGGAGGCTCCCGTAGGGACCCTTTCAGATGCCCTTGGAAACCTGCATCTCACCTCACCCGATGAGCAGGATGTGGCCCCTGACCCCAACCCAGGAGAGGCCCTGGTCAGGGGAGTCTGCCACATCAAGTGTGTGTGCTACGGCATTGGCAGCTTTGCCACCTGCGTCACAGCGAGAACCCAGCTTGCGTTTCTGCTTCTGTTCTTGGAAAAGTGCCAGGTGAGCATCGGACCCGCCTGCACCCCCCCTCCCTGGCCTCGTGCACTGTGCTGTGGGTGTTTGGGCTGAGGCCACTCTTCTTCCCTCGCAGATCCCCAGAAGTCACTGTTGGGTCTATGACCCTCTGTTCAGCCAGCTTGAAATCGCTGTTCTTCACTCCCTCGGGGTGACTGTTCTCCCTGAGAACGAGGTGAGCGGTGGGGAAGCGGGTGGGCCACATGAGGATCCTGACCAGAGCAGAGTGCCTCTCTGCGGTGGTGGTGGCCCCTCTCCACCACCCACTTCCCTCCCCGTGTCTGTACAGTGTGACTAATCAATCAGTCACCCACATTTTGCTTTATGTCATGGTCCTGTCAAAAAAACTTACACAAAGAGCATGAACCACAGCAAGTCAGGTTTGCAAAATTTTTGTGAGGAGTTTTTGTCCAAAAATTATTCTAAGTTGGTATTTGCTGCACTACCTAAAACTCAAGAAGGCACAGTCCGGGTGCATCAAATGAGTCTGTCTAGTCAGGCTGCACCCTGTCCCGGGAGAGGTAGTAAAAGGGGACAGAAGACCTGGCTGGGACCTGTGAACAGGTCCTCCGCTGCCCCAGCACCTCCAAGAGCTTTGACATTCCCAAGGCCTCTGAAGGAGAAGCCCTTCCACAGGACAGGACAGAAGCCAGGATGCGCAGAGACCTCTGAATCTAGATTTGCATCCTCTTGGGGATTAGAGGATCATTTGATTCCTCTGTGTCCTGAAACTGCCATTTCATGGCTCATTACATAACCTCCAACAAAGGCCCTGCTGACAAGTCGGTCCCCAGTGCTGACAGGGTCCTGGAACACTGGTGCTCAGTCCAGATGGTCTTCTGAGTGCCTTCTCTGGGCTGGGCAGGGAGCTTGCCAGAGACCAGGATCACCGAGAGCCAGTCCACTTTAGGGAGCCTATGGCTACCAGGGCGTGTGGCCTGTGAACCCCAGTGGTGAATGCAGCAGTGTAGTGGGGTGCTGGGAAGGACAGGGAGCTTCTCTGGGTCTGAACTGGGGTTTGAAGATCTGCCAGGAATTTGCTAAAGGGACAGAACCAGGACTGCAGGAAGCTTATGCAGAGCTGGATGATGAGGAGTCCACTGAGGTTTCTTATTAACATAAAGGGGGCTGGGGCTGGGGCTGGGGCTCAGTGGTGGAGAGCTTGCCCAGCATGCACGAGGCCCTGGGTTCCATCCAACACAAAGGAAGCTGCAGGTGGAGAAACCACAGAGGTGGCAGCAGCCATACAGCCAGGGAGTTTGGCTGTAGAACAGTGGTCTATGCTCCCGGGGGACATCTGAAGGGGATCTGCAGAAAGTGAGACAGGAGGCAAGGATCACTAACTACAGTACATGGAGACACCACAGCTGTCCCTCCTGTCCTTTTTGATAGTGACCCAAGAAGCCCCCTACCTCCTCCAGAGCTTTCTGTGCTACTGGGGCATACCTGTTAGGCATGATGGCCTCCCAACACCCCATCCCACATAACAGTGTAGACTAAACTGGAACAATCTCCAGTTTTTTCCACCTGGGGTTTAGTTGTCTTTTTTTTTTTTTGGTGGCCGGGGCAGCGGTGTTACTCAGGAGCACTTGTCTACTGAGCCCCGTCCAGCCCTATTTTGGTGTTTTATTTAGAGACAGAGTTTCACTAAGTTGCTTAGGGCCTCACTGTTGCTGAGGCTGGCTTTGATGAGATCCTCCTGCCTCAGCCTCCAGAGGCACTGGGATGACAGGTGATGCTCAGTTGTCTCTTAGCTCATGTTGACATCTGTCCTGAGGTCTCCGTCACCTGCTGAAAGAAGTATGCCCTGCCAGAGGTCACACTTGTCATTTCATGTTCCCAGGAAGGAAAGCGGAGTATTTGTGGCCAGCCCACCGTCTTCTACATGCCCCACTGCGGGACAGCCTTGTACAACAACCTTTTATGGAGCAACTGGTCAGTAGATGCCCTTTCTAAGATGGTCATCATCGGGAACAGTTTCAAGGGCCTGGAGGAGAGGTAACCCCAAGAACAATGCCATTGGGTCAGCCCAGAGGTGACACCCACAGCAGACTGCCACAGGCAGAGTGCATCCCCTGCCATCCTGCCCTAGGAAATGCTGCTCTGTAAGGAAACAGCTAAAGGGGGACAGTCAGGTTTTGAAGTGCTGGGGATGGGCACCAGGGTGTCACACACACCAGGCAAGTGCTCTGCCACCGAGCCTTGTCCCCAGTCCAAGTCAGATTTTAGACCCTCAGTCAAGCTGTGCAGCAGTTTAGAGTCTCTTTACAAATAATCTCTCCCCTAGTGACAGAGGTGCCCTTGAAACACTCTCCATATCTGCCATAGCTGCCCACTGCTCCACCCCCTTTCACCTCTGATGCTCAGGTGTGCTGTCATCTCCTGGGGACACAGGCAAAAGCCCTAGGTCTTCACATCCTCTGTTTAACCTCCCCTGGTATTTCTTTAACTCTTACTATATTTAGGTCATCTCACTTTCCTACAAGTCTTAATTTAAATAAAACCATCTTCACACCTCATAATTGTATTATTTTAATTTCTAGGTTGTTGACAAGGATTCTGCAGAAAAATTACCCTTATGTTGCAAAGGTATCTGAATAAAGGGGCCTGGCGGGAAAAGGGTGGAACCACTCCCCTGCTCACTGTGGAGAGTCCAGCTTTGCTCCAGGTAGACACTCTGCCAGTGGAGACAGTGACAGCACTGTACCATCAGCAACCCTCTCCATGGGGGTGTGTTCCAGAGAGCTGTGACATTTCAGCACCCCCTTAGTGTTTTCCTGATTGCCCCTATATCAGGGTCACTGTCCAGCACACCACTGTCCTAGGGGTGTCAATGCCCTGTGCTAGAGCATCAGTAGTCTCCTATTCCTTATTTTTTCCAAGGGACGAGGTGGTGAAATTTAGCAGGAAGTGCGGACCCTGGTGTGACTGATGTCATCATGTTTGAATTTTTCTGCTCAGATTCTGGAAGGGCTGGAGGAACTCGAGCTGCCTCAGACACCCCAGTACACAGACACCTTTAATGACACCTCTGTTCACTGGTTCCCTGCACAAAAGCTGGAACAGCTCTCCAGGGATGTGTGGGCATTTGGGGAAGAACCAGAGTATCAGGACTGCGAGGACCTTGAAATCATCAGGAAGATAACGATAGACCCTGTTGCTGACCTGCACTCACTACAGTGCACCTCACCAGCTGAGGTGCTTTTAGGATGATGTATAGCCTGAGAACTCAGTGTGAAGACCGACACTGGTCAGCCAGGTGCGGTGGCACATGCCTGTCATCCCAGCAGCTCAGGAGGCTGAGGCAGGAGGATTGTGAACTCAAGGCCAGCCTCAGCAACTTAGCGAGGCCCTAAGCAACTTGGTGAGACCCTGTCCCTAAATAAAATATTAAAAAGGGAGCTGGGGATGTGGCTCAGTGGTTAAGCACCCCTGAGTTTAACTCCAGCACCCAGAACAGGACTGATGCACTTGTAAAGCAGTGTTCTTCCTAGTGGCCTGGCCTGACCTCAAAGATAATCAAACACTGTTCGTGCACATCGCCTCTGTGAGGCACCTCTCTGGTCTATTTGGCCATGTCGATGAGGCTCTGCAGGGAGGTGGGCACCCAGGTCTTCTCGCCCTGGACAAACACCACCCCCCGGTCAATGTAGATCACGATGCGGCCAAAGGTGTACAGCTGCTTCCCCTCGTGCCGCTTGCCGATGACGGGCATGAACACGATGTTGTGTTCCTCGGCCTTGGTCTCAATGAGGTCCTTAAAGTTCATGGGCACAGAGCTGGCGGCCACACCGATGCCCCTCTGGGCCATGTTCTCGGCCTCACGGCGCTCCTGCATGGCCTCGTACTGGAAGTCCTTCCTCCGCTCCGTGTGGGTGAGGTAGGCGATGTTCTCCCGCGCTCCCGGCTGCATGTAGGCCCCTGAGACAGGGAAGGGAGGAAAGGCGTAAGGGAAACTGACCATCACTTGATCTAGTCTGGGCTGTGCTCATGACTCACCCGAGGGCAGCTCTGCCTCAGACTCAAGTGACTGGGGGGACTTTGGACAAGTGGACAGTATCACAAAAACTAATCTGTAGATCAGACTGATATCGGATAACCAGGGTAAACCGCCAACATAAATGGGAGGGTCCTCCTGACTGCCAGCAACCTTGACTTCAGTCACGGCTCCGTCTCCAAAGTGTCCCCCAGAGCCTCCACTGCATGCTGGCCGCTCTTAGTACCCTGGGAACTCATTCATTCCCAGCGCGGCCATCTTAGGCCCTTGGCTCCGCTCTGGGACACCTGCTGTGTTTTAACTTATCCACTCAGGTCCCCGACTCTAGGAGAGCAGAGCCTGGAGGGTGACGGAGGGCCACAGACACTGAGGGCTCCAGGCAGGGAATGGTTCTGGGAACATGAAACCTGGGGGTGGCTGGGGGAGAATGTCTAGAGAAGGTGAAGATGGACACAGCCCTCGAGGGACCTGGACAGGAGAGCAGCACAGAAGCTCATCTGCCTCATTAAAGAGTGTGTAATGACGTCACCTGTGAATTCCAGCTGTTTTCAGGAAACCCGGTGAATAGAATTAAAAGGGGACAGAAATGACAGTCCCAGCCACCACCCTGCACCGCCATGTCCCTGAGCAAGCCGAGCCACTAGGCCCTGAAACGCATTAGATGAAGCATGCTGCAGCCCCAGCGGAGCTGGCCAAGCGCATCAATGGCCTTGGCTCAGGCAACCGCACAGGACTGGGACGCTCCCAAGTGTCAAAATGTGAACCTAAAACTGACTCCTCATCTAGGCAGAGTGACTTGAGCAGCTCTGGGAACAGAGACCACGTCACCGTGACCTAGCACAGGCCCCAACCCATGTAATCCCTCTGTAACCAATGAGGAACGTGGAGCCCAGAGAGGTTAAGCAAACTGCTCAGCGAGACACCGTCCACCCTGACCCCAAAACCCCCGCTACAAGCTACGGGCACAAGCAGCACCCCAAGGCCAGCTGGCTGGCACAGGGAGCCTCCAAAGCACCAGGCCACGCTAGGCTGGAGCAGCAGCGTCTGAATCCAGCTGCAGCCAACCTCCATCAGGGAATAGGCCCCACCAGCCCAGTGGACCTGGGCAGCAGACATAGTGGACAGAGAACTGGGTCCAGCAGGCAGCTATCCATGTACTACGCAGGCAGCCTGTGGATCCCAGAACCCGGGTGCTGTCATTCGTGTGTTTAGAGACCGGGGATGTGGGGCCAAGACCTCCACCATGGGGATCCTCACTCACCAACATTAGAGGACACCGCCCTGTTCATGATGTCCAGTGCTTCATTAAACTTGTCCTTGACAGACGGATGGGCCAGCACCTGGTCTGAGAACATGGACTTCCAGCCCAGGTACCACTTGGTGATCTCCTCGTAATTGGGGCCATTACTGAGCCAGGAGCACAGCACCTGCCGGGAGGAAAGGGAACCTTCACCCCACAGCAACAGCAGGGCCACCTTCCCAGAGCGGCCCTTGTGTTGACGCTGGTCCTCCAAGCGAGTGACACCACTTGACGGGTTTCTAGGAGCTGAGAAGTGGCACTTCAGAGCAAGGACTTCAGAGCCAGTCTGTGTCTAAGTGCCCTTACAGGAAACCTGCTGAGCTCTGCCTCCATGTCAGGGATGTCACAGTCCCTCCCCCACAGGACTGGGAGGAGTGACACAGAGCAGAGAGAGTGCTCAGGGAACAGGGGGGCCACTGTCATGACAGACAATGCCTCCCCTTGGTGATGTGTGTTCAAGTGGAATCGCAACTATAGTCAAGCCTTGCCAGAAAATCAAGGAATGTCCCCACCCTGCCACCTCTCCTCCCACGACAAAGCAAACCAAGTGCACCTGGAGCCACTTGGGGAAGAAGTGCTTCTCGAGGAGCCCGACCAGGCTGGAGACGGAGATCATCCCCTCCCAGTCGATGACCCAGTAGAAGGCGTCCATGTGCTGCTGGTGGGGGTTGATGACCAGCTCACCCAGACACATCCCTGCAGGAGAAACCGTCCCCAAGGTCAGCCTTCCTACCAGCAGAGCCACGGACGACATCGGTCTTTAAGCTGCATTTAAAGGTCATTTTAAGCGCTCACCATAGCGATTCTTAAAAAATCACTTTTTTCCTCTTACCCCCAAATAACCCCCTAGTAATTTAGAGCGCGACCCCACGGCCATCCCAGAACGCCAACGGCTGTGCTGCTTCCAGGGCCAGAAACGGACCAGCCAGGAAAGCCATGACGCAGTGACCTGCACATCCCCACTGCAGGCTTTCAATCGATGCCACGGTAAACAGCAGGAGGGACCCCAGGGCGTTTCTCCACCGCTGACCGCAGGGCCAGGGACCCGAGGCCACGACTGAATGCACGCTCTCCATCTCCTCACCCAGCTTGGGCACGATGTTCTTGACCATGAACGCCTCCCAGGAGCCGGGGGTGAAGACGTCCTTCCAGGGCTGGAGGATGAGCTTGGCCGAGGAGTCGCTGGGGTGCCACTTCTGCAGGGCGCTGGACAGCTTGCTGCGGATGGGGGAGTAGAGGGGCTCCAGCCGCGCCTGCATGAGGGGCAGCCACGGATGGATCCAGGAGTGGATGGGGACCGTGTCCGTCAGGGGATTCCAGTTGTCCACCTGCAGAGGGTCAGGGAAAAGAGCAGCTGATGCAGCCTGAAGCCATCTGGAACCCACCCCGTGCGGCTGTGGGTGAGGACTATCCTTGAGGAGGGAGGCCCTGCTCTCCTGGCCCAGGCCACGTCCCTTTCCATTTATCTTCCTGATGCTGGGGACTGAACCAGGGCCTCGGCCACAGCCCCGTCCCCAGCCCTGTTTATGTTTAGATAGGGCCACACTAAGTTGCTGAGGCTGGCCACGCACCTGTGACGCTCCTGCCTTAGGCTCTTGGGATCGTGGCCTGTGCCACTGTGCAGACTGTCCCTGGCACTCATGTAGATGACCCAGCCTCCCCTCTATGGTGACCAAGGTGCCTATAGGCATTTCACATTCCATGTCCCCGGAACTAAGACACCAACCCCAACAAACACATGACGTGTTAAACCTCAGAGACCCACGAGGCTAATTTCATTGAAACCTCAAGAAATGAATTCCCTCTAGAAGGCCTGGGGGAAAGTCCCGAGGAGAGGGCTGGACTCTGCCACAGGACAAAGGGCTGTGCTGATGGACTCTGAATTCCAGGCATTCTAACAGCGGAAGGCAGGAGAAATGCTCCACAGTCCCAGGGTCGCTGACCACAGCTGTCTCCAGGGCTCGGCCTACCTCCTTCTGCAGCTTAGGGAAGATGAGCTGGTCCAGGATGTTGTCCAGGATCCACACGGGGATGATATGTACCCAGCTGTCCAGGAAGTCCACCATTGGGTCACAGTTTCTTGGCTGCCACTGGTTGACGATATTTCGAACAAAAGGCATCCAGACTTCCCAGATGAGCCTGCGGCAGGCAGAGGGCCCTGGTTACCCCAAGGATGGGTTTCCAAGCACCCCAGCCACCACCACCTCCCTAACCCTGACCACAGAACAAGGAAAAGCAACAGCACAGAAGCAGCCAGAACCAGAACCGGAGGCCCCACCTGGCTAACCTGACCTCCCCTGCCGGCCTGCTTGGCCTGGGTCCCCCTGCTAGTGCCCACCCGCCTGGCAAGTCTGCTGCAGATGACACAGGCTCACAGGCCCCAGCAGAAGGCTCCTTTCCAGGTTACAGATGCTGTCCCACCTAGAGCTCTACCCACAGCTGACACCTCTGACCCTCTGGGCCATAGCTTGATGTCCCTTCCTGAGTGACCTCTGTTCCGATTCCCACTCTAAGTAAGTGCTCGCCCTCGTTACTCGCTACCATGTACCCAGCAGGCTGCACGGTGGACCAGAGCTGGCTGCAGTCCCCCAGGTAAAGCCTAGCACCCAGCATGTGGCTGGCCCTGAACAGACACTTGACAACCAGGCTGAGCAAGCAGGGAGTGGTTTAAATTCCCAGAGCAGAACCGGTGCGCAGCAGGTTAACACGGACACCTCCACTGTCCCCTGCCTCCAGCGACCCCCGGGCCAGGAGCGCAGCGCCCACTGTGGTACCTGTGAAAGGCATCTGCGGAGAGGTCCTGACCGCCGTGGGACAGGATCTGGTCGTTCTCCAGGAGGCTCTTCCACTTGGAGATGATCTCCGTGCCGTAGGTGCAGTCCTGAGGAGAAGGGCGTCAGCCGGCCCTCCCGCTCTGCCCTCCTCAGCAGGGCGCGCCCCAGCCCAGAGCGGCCACAGCTCCCCAGCTCACCTTGAGGGGATCCCACTCCTTGAAGTAGTCCTTCATGAGCGGGTAGACGATGGCCACGGCCAGGTCCACGCGGTCCGACATGCGGTACTCCTCGTAGTACTTGTCCTGCAGGGTCTGGAAGACGCGGGCGCACTCGTCCAGGGTGAGGGGGTTGGGGCAGCTGGGCTGCATGCGCCGCTCGCACTCCTCCACCATCTCCAGCACCCGGCTCAGGTTGGAGATGACGCGCTCCTCGTGCTCCAGGACCTCGGTCATCTTCTCCAGCTCGTGGGACAGGTTCACCACCATGTCCCGCTCATACTGCAGCTGCCGGTCGTTCTGGATGATCTCCTGCTCCGTGAGGTCGATGAGCAGCTGCAGGTTGTGCTCCAGCTCGGGCAGGGCGAAGCCGGGGGCTTTGGCCTCCTTGCCGGGCAGGGGTGGCAGCTGGGACTGCGGCGGGAGCCCGTCGTCGGGCACGTTGTGCTTGTGGCTGATCTGGCTGTAGCTGTAGTAGACCTTCTGCTCCCGGCCCGTCATGTCAATGACCTGGAGCGGGAGCAGAAAGGACACGGGTTAGCGCCCACCATTGCTGCCCGTCACCAGGATGTGGGCAGGAGTGTCAACCACAGCTTAGCAGAGCTGTGAGAGGGCAGCGTGTCTCAAGGTGGCTCCATGGGGGACTAGATCAGAGGAGGCTCGGGGACAGAACGGGTGCAGAGAGCCCGAGGCTGGATCCCTCTGAATGATCCAGACGGAGGACCTTAGGAAACAGGACATTTGAATAGGGACTGAGTGTTAGCAAAGGAACCTATTTTCATGGAAAAGTAGAAGCTCTACTCGTCAAAGCAGCTAACAAAACTTGATAATCAAAATATGGCCTTTTGGTAAAAGCTACACACAGATGCCCAGAAGCACAGGGAAAGACCTAAAAGGAGGTGTATAAGGCGTTCAACTTTGGTGACCTTGGGAGGGTGGGTACTATTGTTCATGTTTTTATTCTCTGAATTTCCTAATTTCTTAAAATGCCCTACACATCACTCTTGTAATAAAATTTTTAAAAATATAAAAACAATAAACATAGTTATTGGACTAAGGCAACTTAGGAATGAACTACTTCTAACATTTTAGGAAAACTGAGGAAATCTGAGTGTGGCCTGTGCCTCTGAATAATCATTTGTTGCTTTAAATAAGAGTGACTAGCCTAGAAAGAGCTCCCAGGGCTTCAGCCCAGATCCGACTCAACCTCGCTGGGTGGGACCTAGCACCTGTTCCTGATTGTCCCCAGATAACATGCCATGCAGCATGCTGGGCGAGTTGAGAACACCACCGGGGCTTCTTTGAGCTGGTGACACCTGTCCTCTGCCTGGCCACGGGCAGCCATCTCCACTGCTCTCAGCCCTTGGGAAGGCGACGGGAATGAGCACTGCAGGAGCACATGACAGTGGCATCCTTGCTGGAATGACTCCCAGGCCACCCACTCAGAGATGGCAGAGGAGTGGCAGTTTCCGTGGGCTGGAGCAGCAGTGGGGAGCAGGGACTGCGGCCATGCTGGGGAGAGCCTGGGCATGAGGAGTCAGGGCCGAGGAAGCCAGGGCGTAGGGGCGGTTCCCTGAGGCAGCGCAGCCTGGGCCCAGTGAGCAGTGGGAGAGCAGAAGTGGGGAGACCTGAGTGGAGACTGCAGGAAAGTGCAGAGCTGACCCCGAGGACTCATGCTTTAGGGACCTGACTGGATACGCCTGGACAGCAGCGGTGACCCAGGAGCGATGTCACTCCCCAGCCAAGCACAGCCTGCTCTCGGGCCTCCTCTCAGCCTGCGAGTTCCACCTCTTTCCTTGTCACTTGAGTAAACCCCACCCCTTTCCCCCTGGCCTTGTTGTACTGTCCATGAAATTCATTCTCCAAATATTTGAGACAAGAACGCAGAAAGAAAACGAGGATGAGCTGCTGGGGTCAGGACGGCACGGCTGGCTGCTACCTTGGGGTTGGTGCCACTCGGCAGGCCCTGCGTGGTCAGCTGCCGACACAGGACGGACTCTCCAGCTACAGAGGCCCACAGCGCATGCAGACTCCATCCACCAGCAAAGCAGAACTTTGGGCTTGAGCTCAGACTCCAGTGTCCCCAGCACAGTGCCCTGACACTCCCCACGCTCCCGGCCAGAGTCGCTGCCAGCTTCCCGGCACGTAAGGCCTGGGCGACTTCTGTGTTCTTTATCTTGGTGGCTGTCCTAGGAACCTCTCCTCAGCCTCAAGTAAAGCTTTAGGTGCAAACTAACTGCCAAAACCCAAACCAAACCTGAAAAAAAGCTGAAGGTCTAGCAAAGTGGAAGGATCCAGAACAGTCCTGCCACCTCTGGAACCCTGTCACATTAAGAACAAGGACATGCGCAGATTTTAAAGACAGGAATGTCCCACCAGGGCAGGAGGAGAGGGTTCAAGAAAAGCAGCAGCCTGACGGAAGGCAAGAGAACCTTAGGAAATGGCCAGCCATCACCGTCACCCTGGGCGTGGCTTCTCTTTCCCCCATCCTGGACCAGGTCCCCAGCCCCATACCTTGACCTGAGAAAGTTCCTTCTGGGGAGCCGTGAGCTTCTTGCTGATCCTGCCCTTGGCCTTCAGCTCCTCCACCGTCTTGTAGGAGTACTTGGGCTTCTTCTTGCTCCCACTGGGGTCTTTTCTCCACTGGCTCAGCTCCTTCTGAAACTCCTGCACCAGAGGCACGCAGTCAGTCTCCATGGGGAATACCACTGTTCACAGGAGGTGCGGCCACTGAAGCCACCAAGACAATCACCAGCTGCCCAGATGAGCGTTTGCCGGGCTCTGCATGAAGAACTGTGCCATGGGACACTAAGCCACCTGCTGACACTCCCTGATGCCCACCCTCCCACAGGTTCCGGAGGCAGGTGCACCCCACAGAAACGAGAACAAAAAAAAGGAAAGGCAGCATTTACTGAGCACAGACTCTAGGCCGGCGCTACGCTAGTTTTCAGCTGCCCTCCTGTAAAACTCAGGAACGCCACGTGTAAGATTAAGTACAGGAGAACGCGGCTCCGACTGGAAATAATGTGAACCCGGGTGCTGCAGCCTGTGGGGCCAGCTACTCAGGGGACTGAGGGAGGAAGGTCAAGAGTTCAAGAGCAGCCTGGACAATTCAGTGAGATCCTTCCTGGGGATGGAGCTGAGTGCACCTAGCACAGGCAAGGCTCTGAGTTCACTCCCAAAACTGCAAAATGACTTCTCTGAAGGAGAAAGAGTCTAGGCTAAGGAGACTCCGTCCAGCCCTCAGAAGGTCCAGCTTTTGTGACTGTCCCTCTTTTTCTCACACTGGCTTAAATCTGTACATTTTTTTTTTCCTCAAAAAGACTTCTGAAGCCAGGCACAATGGTGCACACCTGTCATCCCAGAGGCTCAGGAGGCTGAGGGAGGAGGATCATGAGTTCAAGGCCAGCCTCAGCAAACGGCGAGGCCCTAAGCAAGACCCTGTCTCTAAATAAGATACAATAGGGCCGGGGTGGGGTTCAATGGTTGAGGGTACCAAAAGAAACAACTTCTGAAGTTTGGGATACTCTGGGAAAGTCTCTCGATCTCCTACAGCAACACTTGCCTGGAGCTGAGCAGGGGAGAGCCCTTCAGATGGCCACGCCCCCATGGGTGTGCTCACTGCCCGCCACTCCTGGCTGGGCCACCCGGCTTGCCTACTTAACACAGACACCTGTGGGCTTCTGCACAGAGTCGTCAAGTACACTTCATCAAACGCCTCCTCCCACTTAACAGGAGATGGTGGGTGACAAGAACAGCAATGTCAGGCTGCTTTGTAGCATCCTACTTTTGCTCATGAGCGCCAAGGGACAAAGAGCTGCCCCTTGCAGCTGGAGTATAGCCACGCCAGGACCCCAACAGCCACGGAGGCCAGGAGACTGTGGCAGCCCCCTCCCTCCCTGTTGGGTCTGCCGCCCTCCTCCATGGTCTCCCACGTTCCCATCAAAGAGTTTCTCATGCACGTCCTCTGGCCTCTCCATTCTCCCTGCTGCTAGCACCTTCTCTTCCTCTGGGTCTCAAATGAATACTGCAGTCCCCCCAAGATTTCCCAGGCAGCTCGACACCCAGCCTCACTTTCCGCCTAGGCACCTCCTAGTACACCCTCTCTCCTTCCCCCCCGTACTGGGGATGAAGCCCAGCAGCCTTTACCACAGGACTCCATCCCCAGTTCTCTTCCTTTTTTATTTTGTGACATGGTCTTGTTAAGTTATTGAGAGTTGTGCTCAATTTCTGAAGCTGGCCTTGAACTTGCGATCCTCCTACCTCAGCCTCCTGAGTCACTGGGATCACAGGTCTGCACCAGTGCACCCGGCACATCTGCCATCTCTCCCCACTGTCATTGCCTATATACTGCCCAACGGGCGCTATGTCCACTCAAGAGACACCCAGTCTCCAGCAGAGTACCCAGCCAATGGCCAAAATGAACACCTGAAGACTGAGAGGACGCATGAGAGGACGGACAGGCAGCTACCACAGTGGCACGGGACACCCCACCCTCATCTCCCACCTTCCCTTACCTCTTCGGCTTCTTCTTCCGAGTCCACCACAGGGAAGTCCTGCAGGGACTGCGTGGTCCGCTCCGAGCCATAGGCCCCCACGGCTCCTTTCCCTTTCCTCTGTTTGGCTTCGATGGGGTTGATGATTCCTGCCAACCCAGCAAGAGACGAAAAGTAAGGCTTCAGATCAGATCAACCCGTGGACTGAACAAGCCACTTGAGTAGCACACAGTCCTGGCTCCTTACACAAAATTTCACTGCCCTAAAGGAGCTCTGTGGCCTGTCCTTGGAACACTGTCACGTCCCACATGGTTTCAAAGTTCTGAGCATTTATGCTGCTAACAGTTTGTTGACCTTGGGTTATTTATGTCCCAAACACAGATTTCCACTGCTACTCATGCTCACTGTGTTAGTGGACAAGAAAAGAACAAGTCCCCTGCAGTTGAGAACACAGGCGTGCGAAATCTGACACTCCACCCCTTGAAGGCTCAGGCACAGAGGTTCGAGCTACCAGACATAGCGCCTCCACCTGAGGGTGCTGCCTTCCACACGGGGTTCCTCAAACATGGGCCAGGAGCCCACCCCGCCCTATCTGCATATTCACACCATGTTCAAGCCCTGCACGTACACGTGACAGACATTCACAATCAGGACTACAAGACGTTAGCGGTGATCCCCCTGAAGTCTGCTAAAGCTCAAGGTCACCCCTTCTCCATCCCTCCCAGTCACCATCACCTTCTTTCCACTTCCTGTACTTCCCACACAGCTAATGTTTCCAACCCAACCCGACTGACTGACAACAACCATTTAAGACTGGAACTCCAACCACAGAGGACACTTCAGACTGCATCAGGTTGGTGACCATTCGTAGGAAGAAGCTCAAAAAGGAAAAGTTCCTGCAGGAAGGGGCCTATTGCCTGATCTGTGTGGCTCTGACTCAAGAGATGTGGGAGAGGGACAGTGACTCACTGGAGCTGGTGGGGGAGGACCAGAGGAGACCGTGTAGCAGAGCAAGGACAGACTCGCCCAAAGCCACAGCCACAGGTCCCAGCTGCTGCGAAGGCCACTTAGAGTCATACTGACACTCATGGACCTTTTCCTGGGAGGGAGGCACTGGGGACTGAACCCAGGGGCACTGTGGTATGAGCCACATCCCAGCCCTTGCTGAGGGCCTCGCTAGCTGGCTGTGGCTGGTCTCAAACCCAAGGCCTCCTGCCTCAGCCTCCCAGGTAGCAAGCGTGTGTCCCTAGCCCCAGTTTTTGTTGTTTGTTTATTTGTTTTTACCAAAACCCTCATGAGCAGGATCACAAACTTTCCCTGGGCCTTCAGGGCACAGGATGGTTCCCATAAAAAGCATAGTGTATAGGAGTGGGACACTGCATCTAGACAAAGGCCACATGCAGGCCGAGGGACCATATGATCCAGCTACACTTCTGCCACGCACAATACAGAACTTTAGGTGAAACAGGCTGATGTCTAAATGTTGGCCACTGATCCATGTTTTAGAAACCCGAGTCAGGACACAAGGAAGCCATGTCACGTCACGTCAGCCTGGTTCAGACCTTAGTACTTTCTCTCACTCAGTGTCTTTTGTTTAACTGGGTTTTGAGACAGCAAGGGAGCCAAGGAGCACGACCGTCCTGCATGGGCAAACGAGGCCAGAGAGTCAGAGTCCCCTTAAAAGGGAAAAGGCGGAGAGGAGCGAGCCCGGCCTCCCCACAGGACTCCAGGGAGCTGCTGCCGTACCCTGTGCGTTCTTCCCAAGACCTCGCCCAGGGACGTAGCCCATCTTCTGAAGAAGCTTCTGCCCAATTCCCTTCGTGTGTCTTTCCCAGCTGCCAAAGTCCATGAAAGATTTGGTTCCTCCTGCAAAACCTTTCTGGCTGGGCTTAAAATTGCCGCCCTGCAAAACAGAATGACCAAAGTTTACTTGTGAGAAAAACTTGCAGAAGCCTGACCCATGAGAAAATGGCCTGATGGCTACAGAGCACTACAGGAAAAGAGCATCATGAACCAAACAGATCAGTGACGCCCGTCAAGAAGGAAGAGATCCCACCGCGTGAGAGGGCCTGCTGAGCTTCCCTGCCAGGAAGCCTCTGGAGGACATTACTCAGGTGACAATCCTGCGATAAAGACTCTACCGTTTTTAACTTCTTTGGTCCAAAATCTTTAGGAAAGTCTTCCTGCTTAATCGGTTTCTCTTCATCCTCAGAATCTTCCAGCACTGCCTCCTCAGCCGCCCCTTTCTTGAGCCCTGCGCTGATGAAGTTGACGGGTGCAGAGTAGTCACGGGCCCTGCAGGCACAGACGCAAGCCCTGGTCAGTAAAGAACTCTTCTGCAGCTGGCCCTGTCTGGAACTGGGCTCACAAGGAAGTCCTCAGAGCGGACTCGTGGGATCCATTTTAAAAGAGTAACACAATTATTTGGGCTGAGGCTGAGGCTCAGTGACAGAGCACTTGCCTAGCACGTGTGAGGCACTGGGTTCCATCCTCAGCACCACATATAAATAAATAAATAAAGGTCCATTGGCAACTAAAAAATTATTTAAAAAAAAAAGAGTAACATATTTATTTGTATGTCAGTATATGAAAAGGACCCCAGGCCAGGCTTCATGTGATCACATTTAACATGTTTACCTGGGACGTTCAATTCAAATTTATAGCTGAAGATACATCAATAACAATATTGAGGGGCTGGGGCTGTAGCTCAGCGATAAAGCGCTTGCCTTGCATATGTGAGGCACTGGGTTTAATCCTCAGCACCACATAAAAATAAATAAAGATACTGTGTGTTTATCTACAACTAAATATATATTTTTAAGATATCAATATTGAGTTAATTATAAATTCAAGATAAAACTTGATGACCTAATTTCCCTTTTACACTTTTTAAAATCTAATCTACCTTAAAAGTATTTGTTGTAAACATTATTTCAAGTCCAATAATAAAATAGGAGTAGAAATTCAAATAGATAAAAATCATACTCAAGGGCTGGGGATCTTGCTTAGTTGGCAGAGTGCTTGCCTTGAATGCATAAGGCCATGGGCTCTATCCCCTGCACCACAAAAAAAAAAACAAACACATACACAAGTAAAATTCACTAAAAGATTATATGAATGTGAAGTATGTTAATAAATATATTAATTGAACTTAGAAGCTCATATCCACTATATTCATTTAAATATGAGAACTAAACTAAAACACCCAGGAAATTAACCTTGTGAAATGTACTATTTAAACCGTGACTGCTTCAAGACCAACACTTACGGTAAGTCACTAACCCAGCTCCTTTTGTGTGAAACAACCCTGTGTGGTTAGAGGAACACAGAAAAGATGTCCTGGAAAATTGCCAAGTAGAGTGGTGCTTTATAAAAGGACTGAGCTAGGCATTAAACACCCCACAGGAGCAACAGAACTCAGGGAACTTTTTCCTAAAAGATGCAACAATTTGGTGGTTTAGAGCCCAAACTCCAGAACCACGGAGCTCCAGGTTTTGTTTCCAGCTTGGTTTCTGCCTTGCTGTATGACTCTGAGTCTTAATTTCTTCACCAACAACGAGGAGGATAGTAATGGCCCCTTTGTCCTAAGGGAACGGAGCCCAGTCTATGAAGTCCGCAGGACGTGTGGCCAGTATCTGTGGGCTACTCCTATCAGCCCTTGACCATGCAAGTCTTGACCTCTGACCTACGTATCATATGCTTTTACACCTGCTGCGGGTGAGAGGAGGCTGAACAGACCCCTAGGTTCTTTCACCCTGTTCTTTCTGGGAAAAAGACACCCCTTAGGGGCCCAGCCTCAGGAGTCCACAGCCTGGAGGCACACATGGGTGAGTGAGTTGAGGCCAGCATAAGCAAGACTCCCACCCCAGGGAGAGGACCTCTGGCCTACACTCTCACCTCCTGGCCACCACCCTAGCCTACCCCTGCCACACTGCTGCTGGGACCACAGCCTTGGCCTCCTCAAAGAGCTCTCTGCCATCACTGGGGCTCCCTGCCTCCTTCGCACACCTGTGACAGGGCTCTCCCCTTCCCCTACAATCCCGTCTCAAGTCCCACCCCCTCCTCTCCAGCCTACAGATCTTCAGTGCCCTGTGGACACCTCGGGCCTCCAAACAAGGTCCTCTGTACACTCACCCTGTCCCACCACCTTAGCCCCCTTCCATTTTCCTATCAGTTAAGGGTCACTTCTCCAGGGAACTCTTCCCTGACCTCCCAGAATAAGCTAAATACCCTCCAGGGCATTCTTGCTTCCTTCCTGTCCTAAATCACAGTTATAGTTACTGAGTTGTAGATTAAAACCTGTTGTTACCCACTAAAGTCTGAGCTCCAGGGAGACAGTGTAGAGCACAAGGCCAAGTATGCAGTAATTATTCAGTGACCACATGCTGATGGCTACATAAGTGAAGGACAGCCTGGGAGGACCTGCTCCTCCTGCTGACGCAGCCAGGGGACTCCATAAGGCCAGGAGAAGCACTGCCAGGGAGCGGCCCCCCACTCCCATCCTCCCCACTTCCTAAGGCAAGGGGGAGGGCCCATGCAGCCAGTACCGTTTTCCTCCAAAACTGGGCCTCTCCTCATCTGAGTCACGCTCGGCCCACACCCCATAGGTGGCCTCCTCCTTGGTCTGCCAGTGGCGCTGCCGGTGGGGGTTGAACTCATTCTGGAGGTCCCAGTCGGTGATCTCAAAGTTCTCTCGCTCATCGTCATCATCGTCCATGTGGCCTTCCCCGTCCCGGTACAAATGGGACAGAGACATGGCCAGTTACTAGGGAAAGGACAAACAGGACACAGTGTGTGATGAGTCCTGGAGGCAGCAGCTTGAGGATTTCCTGGGAGTTTCTACTCCTGGCTGCCCTCAACACTTCCTCCAAATTCAAAGTTCACCAAAATCATTGTGAATATTCAACAAAACAGATACTATTTCAGAAAAAAACAATCAGTACTAAGTGATGAGATCTGTAGCTGTGATAAGATCTGGCTCTTTCTTAAATTGAGATTGATAACTGCACCAACATTAAAGAATGCTTGCAAAGACGATTCAATGAGGCACTTAAAAGTCACTGAACACCTGGCATGGTGTCGCATGCCTTTAATCCCAGCAAGATGGGAGGCTGAGGCAGGAGGATCACGAGTTTAAGGCCAGCCTCAGCAACTTAGCAAGACCCTAAACAACTCTGCAAGACACTGTCTCAAAATAAAACAAAAGGGCTGGGATGTGGCCCAGTGGTTAAGTGCCCCTGGGTTCAATCTCTGGTACTAAAAAAAGCAAAGAATATTCTTTTTTGGTACTAGGGATTGAACTCAGGGGTACTCAATCACTGAGCCATATCCAGCCCTACTATGTATTTTAGAGTTGCTAAGCACTTCGCCATTGCTGAGGCCATGGCTTTGAACTCGCGTAATTCTCCTGTCTCAGTCTACAGAGCCACTAGGACTACAGGTGTGCGCAGACCCGCTGGGAAAAAAAAAAAAAAAAAAAAAGTCCTTTTAAAAATTAAAAACAACTGAGCTCACAGCAAATAGTCAAGAAACAACAGTTCCATGCCGCAGTTCATCACCATTGGTTGTGTTGGACTACAGACCAAATCTAGCAAGGTGACTGCAATCGGGCAAATTAAAATCATTGCCTGAATTCAAACCCAACTCTACCAGATACTCAGCGCGTGAACCTCAGTGTGTATAAGGTGCCAAGCATGATGCCCTACAGAGTAATACTCATTATGTGACACCCATTGTGTTCTTCTCTACCGACTGTTGCAAGTGGCCTTCAGGGTCAGGAGATCCCTACTTCCTCGGGCAGTGGCCGACTCCGGTCAGCTGTGAGAAAGCTGTCCCTGCTTCCTCCCACTGGGGCACTGCTTGAACGCAGCAGCTCCACCTCACCCAGGAGTGCACAGGCGGGACATGTTCTCAAAGGAGGGGTAGGCCCCAGGTTCACTGGATTAAATTACACTATGCCTCCTGGGACACAGGGCACAGTGGAAACCCCAGGTCAGTCACAGGCTGCAGGGCCCCCGGTAGATGCCAAGTACACACTGGGCGCTCGAGGCTGGCTACTTGATGGCGGCATCGAGACATTTCTGCAAGAAGGATACTTACACCACGCAAAGGGAAGCATCTGTCCGGGTGCCAGTGCTGGCAAGGCCCAGGCCAGGACTCGGACCTGCCTCTACCCTGCTGTCTAGGAGTCCCCAACTCCGCCCAGGCCGGGACTCCCCGAGGACCCCGAGCGGCGCCGCCCCTCTTCCGGCCGGGGCAGGGCTCTCTGCGAAATGGACCCCACGGCGGAAAGGCCACGGTCCGCCCACCCCTCGCCCTCGCCCGCACTCCCTGCGGGGCAGCATCCCCCTCATCCACGTCCTGCTCACCTCTAAGAGCCGCCCAGCGAACCGAACACAGCTCCGCACGCTCCGCGAAAAGCCCTTCCCGGCGGTGGCCTGAACCCGGATGTACCCGGGCCGGCGCGCCGGAAGTGACGTCCCAACAGCGGAAGTGTCGCGCTGGTTGCCTTGGCAGCTCTACAACGCTAGAGCGGGTCGGTTCCTGTGGCAAGGGACTAAGGTAATAGAAGAGAGAGGCAGAGGCGCAGGGCCCGTGTGTCTGGGGGCGGAGTTCCCCGCCGCGACCGCCTCCCCGCCGCGACGGCCCAGCTGGGGTGACTGGCGAGGATGTCGTTGAGCCGGCTTGGCCTAAGGAGGCGCATGTGCCAGGCCGCGACCCTGAATCTGTACAGTGGGGATGAAGGACTGGCTCCCAAGAGGGGAGCGACGGAGAGTGGCCGGGGACGCGGCGTTCAAAAGAGAATGACGAACGTCAAGGCTGCGAATTCCTAGCCCTCGCTGTAGGCGCCGGCGTGGGCTCAGTAGTCGCCTGGTGCCAGAGTTTGGGGACAGTGACGGGCTAAGCGGGCCAAGTCTAGAGCTCCCAGTATTCTCTCCAGGAATATTTTCCTGTCTTCTTTCCAACCGGCTGGCGAATAAATCCCTCCACTCACTGGTCTAATTTAAACGCGCTGCGTGCCCACAGGACAGGACCCGCCCTGCGGGAAGCGCCCACCCGGGGACTCCGCGCAGACGTGGAGCGCGCTGGCTCCGGGCTTCCCTCTCGGTCCAGCCGTGTCCCAGCTGGGCCTGGAGCCAGGCATCACACCACGGGAAGCCCCCCCACCCCACCACGCAAAATGGTTGAGGATTCAGTAAAATTAACTGTGTAGGCAGGGGAGATTGTAGCTGGCACACAGTAGGTGCTTCGGAAGCGTTGGTTGTTCCTCTCATCTCCGTGTGATCAAAAAGATCCAGGAGGCGATCGCTGTAAGTGTACATGAAGTACTGGATGTGGTGTGGCTTCCATGGTTGCTATGAATTCAACGAAAACCTACATAAAGCCAGTTAAGCATGGCTCTCCTAGGAACGGGGACTGTGACTGGATGGTCTCTCTCTCTCCACAGAGATACATGGAGTCACTGTGCATGACACATGGTATGTACTCTAGAAAGAAACTAGAGACTGGGGTTGGAGCCCAGGAGCAGGTGAAGGGAAGAGCAGAACACTGCAAAGTCCTCAAGCAGATTGAGGGAAACAAGGAGAAAAGATAGGGTTTTAAGTCTGGGCCTGAAACTAGACACAGGTTTATATGTTAAGGCCAAAAATAAAAGGAAGCTTGGCTCCTCCTAACTGTGTTTCTGGCTTTACCAGACTTCAGAGCTGCAGGTAAGTGGATGGTGAGGGCAGCTGATGCCCATGGATTCACTTCGTCAGATGCACCTCACTGGGTGGTTTTGGGAGAGGGGAATCTTATGGACTGTCATGAGACAGGAGTGCAGACTGGTCACATGATGAGCAGGTGCACTGTCAGGAGGTAGACAGAATGAAGTTATGCGACAGTTGTTAAAATGCCCCAAGAAGATCACAGCCTTGTTCCCATCTTAGTCCTGCCAAAGATGCAAAGTCTAATCAGGAGGATTTAACAGACAAGCCCAAATAAAGGGACATTCTACAGAAGAGCTAGCCTGTAACCTTGGAGTGCCAAGGCCATGACAGTCAAGGGAAGACCTGGAACTGCTCCAGACTGAAGGAGACTACAGAGATGTGACAACTGAATGTCATATGTGGCATTGAAATAATTAAATAATTCAAATAATTAAATGCCACAGCACAGGGCAGAGCAGGGCAGAAGTCACTGAGGCTGACCTACTGGTTCTTTGCTGGGGTCTCTTCTGATCACTTTCCCTGGCTTAATTCACTTAATTCTTTTTTTTTTTCAGTGTGGGGGAGGTGTACCAGGGATTGAACCCAGGACGCTCGCCCACTGAGCCACATCACCAGCCCTATTTTAAATTTTATTGAGAGACAGGGTCTCACTGGGCTGCTTAGTGCCTCACTGTTGCTGAGGCTGGCTTTGAACTCCTCCTGCCTCAGCCTCCGGAACCGCTAGGATTACAGGGATGCACCACCCCGCCCAGATGGACCTATCTGAGCCAACCTTAAAGTGATTGGTGGGCATTCACGGTCACAAGCACAAACGCCCTATGTACATCACTGTGTCTTCAGTTCCTCAACCTTCAAAGACGGTTTCCTTTACCCTGTCTCTATCCACATGCTGATCACTCCCCTATGCAGCCTATGGAACACTGCAGTTTCCACATGGCCTCCAAAAAAAATTTGGGGGAAATAAAAAAGCTTTGCTCAGTTACAACTTTAAATAGGTTGATACCATAGAAACAATCCTTAAGTGGCGTTTCCAAGCTGATATATTTAAAGTCTAGCACATGTACTTTTTCTAGGACAGTGACATTATGCAGTTGCACATGGCTCATTCTTATTTTGAAGTTTGTCACAAAAATATATATGGTGTCCTGAACTTGGCAGAACTGAAAACCCAGATTGGCTGAGATTACAAATTTGATTTCCCTTTAAGTGCTCCTTGCAGATGGTTTCTACTTATATTTCAAGAACTTGTGAAGACTCTGTCCTTATATAGAAAGCTGGGACACAAGTTTCCCCAGATCTCGGACATTATCGATAAAGCAAGCATCCGGCAAGAGCATACGTTTCACTTATTAACATTATTTTTTATATTTGGTATCAGGCTCCTTAATCACTGAGCCCTTTTTTGTATTTTATTTAGAGACAGGGTCTCACAGAGTTGCTTAGGGCCTCACTGTGGCTGAGGCTGGCTTTGAACTTGCCATCCTCCAGCCTCAACCTACGGAGCGCAACACTGCAACCAGCTCATTAACAATATTGAACAAGTACCTAGCCATTGTCTACCACAATGTCACAGTGACCTCCAAACTTAGCACCTTGAAACAACAGAAAACACCTCACGCCACTTTGGGCAGGAAGTGGGGAGTGGCTGAGCTGGGTGCTTCTGATTCAGCCTCGTCTCTCCTGGGGTTGCACTCATCTGAAGGTTCCACAGGGGCTGAATCATCCACAGGTCTCAGTTCCCTGCCACGGAACCTCCTGAGGTCCTTTATGACCTAATCTCAGAAGTCACACGTGGTCATCTCTGCAATTTCCTATTGATTACATAGCCCTTCTTAGGGGCGCCAGGTTTAGCTAATAAAAATACAGTTGTGAATTTCAGGTTAAATGAATACTATTTTTGATTATGTATCATTCAACCTTGAAAAATACTAAAAATTACCCATCCTCTTATCTGGAATTCAGATGTAACCAGAGTCCTCTCTTTAGTCTGCTGTCTGTCCTGATGAGTACAGGAAGGAAAACGTCCCAGTGGGGGGCACGGATACCAGGAAGCGGCTTCACTGGGCGCCATGCTGGAAGCCAGCTGCCACACCTGTGATGGCTGGAGGTGGCTGTCAGTGGGGATAAGTGGGGCAATTTTAAAAAATGCTTCCCACTCTCCTGGGTTTCCAGCCTAGAGAGTAAGAACAACTTGAATCAACCAGCAGGAAAATAAACACAAAACCTGAATAAAGTGCTTCAGAGAGATGTATCTGGTGCTTGGTGCAGAGAAAAGTCATCCACTGCTTTCCGGGTGTGATGGCCCATGCCTGTCATCCCAGCCACTCGGGAGGCTGAGGCAGGAGGATCACAAGTTCAAGGCCAGCCTCAGCAACTTAGTGAGACCCTGACTCAAACTAAAATTCAAAAAGGGGCTGGGGCTGGGGCTCAGTGGTTAAGGACTCCTGGGTTCAATCTCTTGGACTATTAAAAAAAAAAATCCCAGAAAGAGGGAATAGCTGCTTTTCCATGTGACTTTCTGTAAGGGTGTGAAAGGGACTGAGAGGGTTCTGCTGCTAAAGAAGGATCCAAAACCCTGAATGCATGGCTTGGACCTACATCAACACACACAAAGGACTGCGTGTAAAACATGGTGAGAGTAAATAAAAGTTTGTGGTTTATGGTATTGTACCAACGTCGGTTTCCTAGTATTACAGCTGTGTGAGATGTCCACGTGACGTATCTGGGTGAAGGATCCATGGAACTCTCTGCACTAGTTTTGCAACTTCATATGAGTCAATAATCATTTCAAAATAAAGTAATAAACAATCTGTTGAGGGGGAAAAATAGCTTGTTACAAATGAGGTAAAATCTGAATAATCCAAACTGTAATCCCAGCGGCTCAGGAGGCTGAGACAGGAGGATGGCAACTTCAAAGCCAGCCTCAGCAACTCAGCGAGGCCCTAAGCAACTTAGTGAGATCCTGTCTCTAAGTAAGAATCAAAAATGGAATGGGGATGTGGCTCAGTGGTTAAGTGTCCCTGGGTTCAATCCCAGGTACCAAAAAAAAAAAAAAAATCAGCATGATCCAGACTTGAGGAAGGCCTCAAGACGGAGGAGGGCCTGGCGGATGAGCCAGGGGCTTCCACCAGGTGGGAGAGAACTCTTGTGGTTTATTATTCTGAGCAGAGCTCAGAACAGTGAATGAGACAGACTTAAGGATGAAGGGTAAGAGGTGTCCACATGATTCCAGACCCAAATTTGGGGTGAGGGAAGGCTGGAACACCCCCATTGGTAGGAGGAGTCAGAGGTTGGGGAAACCCTCCAAGAAGCTGGGGTTGTTGGTGCCCTTGCCTGTGAAGGGCTTAGAATCCCTGGAGGTAAGTGAAATCCTGGCGGTAAGGAAATATGTGTTCTCATTTTGTACCCCAGAGGAAGAATGGGAACACTCCCGAGCGTCAGTGTTTCTGGAGGTCTGAAAGTCATTTGAGAATCTGCAGGTGAGGCCCATCTCTTTTGGGATCTCCGGCGAGGCCGATGGTATGTTCTAAAGGTGGCTGCATGAGTGTCGTCCACACCACATCTACTCTGCGAGATGACCTTATTACCCACTTCAGTCTGTCTCTCCTTGATTGCAGGAGGGCTCCTTGGCTATGTGGAAAACCGAGGTAGAAGTGCCACCGTGCCAGTTCCTGGCATACCCTTTAAGCTCCCCTGCTCCTGACCTCTTGTAACATTTGCTATGGGAGGAGCCGAGCCCACGGGAGG